TCAAGAAGTTGGAGAAGGAAGCCAAGCTTGTAGATCTGAGGTTGTTTTGTGCTCTAGAAGCTCCAGGAGGTAAAAAGCTCCAACCTTTATGCTTGTTTGATGTAGATCTAGCCATGGTAACTTTATGAAACCATTTCTTGTCCCAAAAGTCCTAAGTTGGTGCATGTGGTGTTTTGAGCGTGTTAAGCTGTCCTTTCAGACCCTAGAAAGAGTCCTAAGTGATAAAAATGATGTCCCAATGGCTTAAAGTATCCCATGCATGTAGTAGAAAGGTCTTAATGGGTTAAGACCATGTATTAAGAGTTTTATGGACGTCCAAAGTCTTAAAGTTCGAGACTTTATGGTTCTAAGACACATTTGGTCGATGGATCTGGAATTTGGGCTTTAGTGCTTAAGCCATTAAGCACTTATTAGAGTTTTGGCAAAACTTGCATATGCCTCGCGTAAGTTCTGTACGCCCAACGTACTGGGTCAACCACCCCGATGGTGGTCAACGCAAGGCGGAGTATGCGCAACGTACCAGAAGAGTACGCCCCGCGTACGCCCTCTGTTGGGCTTTTGACGAATTGGGCTTCGGGATTGGGCCGCCTTTGGGCCAGTTAGACTTGGGCATTGCTGGGATTTCTGAATATATGTGTTTTGGGCCAGTTTTGGTAATGGATCTTAAAATGAGGCCCAATTAGGGAGTTGGGCCCAATTGGGAAAATTGGGCCAATGATGGGCCTTATGGATATGGACTTTTGGATAATGAATTTGGTATTTGTTTTTTGGCCCAAATTAGAGAAAAGGAAAAAAAGGACTAGGTGGGACCCTAAGTCAAGATTGATATCTCAAGTGTTGACTTAGTATTCGTTATTTTGGATAGTTCGGGATTTTTGGTGAGACAGCGGTCGGAGACTTTCAGTCCAGTTCAACACTACTTGTGAGGTGAGTTTTCCTCACTATACTCAAGGGTCTAAGGCACCAAGGCCGACCCTTTGGATTGTTATCCTGTTTTGTTACTGTTATGATCTGTTAGATCGGTATCCTAGTAGATAGGATGTTTCTATGAGATTATGATATGTTAGATCGGTATCCTGGTAGATAGGATGTTGCTATGCTTAGTGATCTGTAGATCAGCTTGACTGTTTGTAGAATGTTATGTGGTTATTTGATATGTGTGCACATGTTTGATTGGTGGTTGAGGCATCTGCTTGAGCATGATCCAACAGACCTGGGCATTCCAACCCGATGGTTGTGGGCCGAGAGTATTCCATCCCGAGGATGATTGGACTCTTAGTATGTGGGCATTCCAACCTGATGGTTGTGGGCCGAAGGTATATCATCCCGAGGATGATTGGACCCATAGTATGTTGGCATTCCAACCCGATGGTTGAGGGCCAGGGGCATTCCAACCCGCTGGTTGATTGGGCCGATAGTATGTTGTTATTGTATATGTGTTATATGTTGTGCGGGTATTTTGGGGGAACTCACTAAGTTTCGGGCTTACAGTTGTTGATTTTGTTTCAGGTACTTCAGATGATCGCGACAAGGCGAAGGCGTGATCGTGCACCACCTTATGTTTTTATGATTTGATTCCTGAGATACTCTAACATGAAACTATTTTGAAAACAATTTGTAATAATTATTAGTTTCTGAATGTTTTAAGAAGTTTTAAATTGGCATGATTTTTATGGATGTTACATAAATAGGGTATAAATCCATGAAAATTTGGGTTTTCCTTCCCAGCTCCTGCTCGTCGATTTGGTCCCTCAAACTCGTCGAGTAACCACTTCATCCCGCGCCCAAAATAATCTCTACTCGACGAGTTGTAGTTCACCAACTCGTTGAGTCCCAGTCCAAAGACCTAAAATATTTGAAAGATAAATGGTACCTGAAACAAGCGTTACAGGGTAATGAGTTTCGGACGATCCGGCCATTTATCATGAAATTTATCCTTGAAGAAGTTAAAAGCCACCTATTTGAGGATTCAGAATTCAAGCACCTTCGATTGTGAGACTGTGGATTCTTCTTTAATACTCTTATTTTTGAATGAACTCATTAACAATTGTATATATTAAAAAAAAGAGTGTAAATTACATGAATGGTCCCGTTAGAGGTAATCTGGGTGCTTTGTCCAATTTGTTCTTTTAACTCGGGCAGTCCTTAAAATGTAATTTTTTGCACGTTTGGTCCCCGTAGAACCCCAAAATACTTTATTGCCATTCTTTATTTATTTTTAATTGGTTTATTGTTTATTGTTTATTTATTTATTAAAAAATTGTTTAATAAATAAGGTGGAGCAGTTCATATCACACCACTTTTTATGAAAATATGAATAATCCGTTTAGCCATTGTCCCCTCGTCTTCTCGGAAAAAGACTTCGTTCAGCCAAAATCTTTCACCAACATAAACATAAAAACCTAAAACCAAAATAATAAACCTGTAAAATGGAATTAACAAGATATAGAATAAAAAAGCCACATATATAATTAGTAATATCATGAGCCCTAAATCTCTATTCTCGTCAAATTAGCAGTGACTCCTCTGGTAAAACCCACCACCACCATCACTTCTGCAACTTGAATCCAGAAAGAAAAAAGGAAAATAAAGATGTATTAATGACGTTATGTAGGGAGAGGAGCTGATGGAGGAGAGGTTTCTCAAAATCGAAAAAGAAGACTTATGAAAATCGATTCCTTGCTTCAAAATCGAATCCAAACCGCTTGCCATAATAGTTAAAGGAACCACTTCGTCTTCTAGAACTTTTTAACTTAAAAGTCTAATATTAAAACATGATTAAGAATGTAGACGGAAAAAAGAATATTCAAATCGACTATGGTAAAGAGCATATTAGAATCGGTATTAGAACCCATGGATTTAGCCCTAACACGACTTTGTCAAAGATCCTTGTGCCATTGCACAACTGTGATGCAACGATCGAGCAACGGTGGTGGAAATCTACACCGGCCGCCGACGACGGAGCTCTAAAGTAGCTGAGACTGAAAGCATTTTGTCGCCGATTTTTGAAGCAGAAGCGATAGTGGAGAGAGGGTTGTTGCCGATGATGGTTGTTCGGACGAGGATGAGGACATCGGTGGCTCTATGATCCTGTGATACAGAGAAGACTAAGGTAGAGTATTTGAAAGGATGTGGGTAACGTAAGGTTTTAGTGGGACTACATGTTGATGAGCACTAGGTTTGGCGGCGACCGGCGGCGCTGGTGGTATGCTTGGTGGCTAACAGGAGAGAAAGACGGAACAGAGTGGTGAAAAAGCATGGATGGGTCTGTTTGGTGGGGTAGGTCAAAGAAGAGGGTAGAGGGAGGGGGAGGGGGTGAGTTCTGTTTGGTGGGGTATTTAATTTATTTTTTTTACTTTTTTTAGATTTAAAAATGATCAATAGATAATAGAAAATTAAAAAAACAAATTATTAAGGACACAATAGTTTTTTACATCAGGACCAAACGCATCACAAAAACATATAACGAATTAAAAAAACAAATTAATGACCAAACACACGTATTAATCGAAACCATAAGGACCATTCACATAATTTACTAAAAAAAATAACCTGTCAACCGATTGTAGTATTGAGAAAAATTTGTCCAGATGCATCGTTTTTGACAAAGGGATTTCATATTTCCACTTCAATTTTCTATCAATCAACTTGAAATCAATGTTCTTTTTACCTTTTTGCCTTTCTTTTAAATTTACAAAATAAAAAAAAGAGAGAAAGATCCAAACATGAGTTTCTTCCTTGGACGCTTCTTCCCAAAGACGAAACGTTGATTCCTAGTGGCCGTTCAAGAATCGATGTTTCTTCATCGTAGTTCACCGGACAGTTGGACATGCTGCTTCTTTTCCGTTCAGCGGTCGTCGTTGCTTCTTCCAATTCGCCGGTCCCCTTCTGAATCGATCCCCAGAATCCACATACACCTCAATAAACTAAGACCCACCCCTAATTCATGTTAGCTATATGTGCAGGTCTATATTTTGATCTTTGCTTCAATTCTTGATGGCGTGAACGGACTGATCAGGAGATTCTGTTGATGAGGGCTTCTCAAAGAAAATCATGGTGGTTAATGTTTATGATAGTCATCTGGTGATGATGATCTGAACAGAGGGTAATCGTTGAAGAGGAGGAATGATTTATAACATAACAATTGGGTGCTTTACGTTCTTACCTCCTCCAAATGCAAACTTTGAATTTTACTGTAACCCTTGAATTTGGAGATTTTGACATTTATGTTTCTACCGAGTGCTTTATGTTCTTTCCTCCATCACATGTGTTATCCCTTTGATTTGGTGCATTTTGTTCTTCAATCATCTATTGCCGCTACATATTAACAAACAAAAATGAAATTGCTGGATAATTAGGATTTTGCCGGTGGTATTACCCATTTTGGGATGAAAACTCATATCGGGTGGAAACCACTCTTCTGTACGAACTATGAAGAAAGTAGGTTTTAATTAAAAATAATTTATAAAATTAAAAATAAGTTTTTTATACAAGTTTTGGTGTATGGTTGGATTGGAACTTGCATTTTTATGTTTTTTTAGGAGGATGTGGAAGATGATCGACTCAAAGAGAGGTAGTGTAAATGTGAATGGTGATACAGGCAGCAGGATATAACCTATTTTTCTTTCTTTCACATTTTTATAAATTATCAATAAGGGCAAAATGGTGAAAACAGTTTAATTTCAAGTGGATACCTATTTTTCTTTCTTTCACATTTTTAAAAATTATCAATAATGGCAAAATGGTGAAACACGTGGATGGATAAAATAATGCATTGGAAATATCAGCTCCCTACAAAAATATACATACACTAAGAAATAGTCCCTACTGGAAAATCATAAAGTTCGACACATATCTGCTACAAACATTTGCAGATCATATGAACGAAATCAAACAAACATGAAGAAAATATCATTTATTGTATACACACACCATAAACACAAATCACTATAAGCTCCATTTCTTCTTCTGCAAAAACTGAGAGTGGATGGAATATGTAATTACTCTGAATGCAACAGTGATACATATGGAGAATGAGAAGAGACTGTCGATGATGTTGTTTTCTCTGAAGAATCCGATTTAGATGCACCACTTGATGATTGGTCTTGGATGACAGAAGCCACGCCATATGATGAAGACATGGGAAACGACAAATAAGAAGCCACCGGCATCTTTGAGGGGAGTATGGGTAGAGAAGCTTCGGAGTTCAGAATGTGAATAACTTGTCTCATTGAAGGGCGAATATCTGGGTTAGGGTGCACGCACCATAGCCCAAGGATCATCACACGTGTGATCTCTTCTCCCACATAATCTGACCCTAGCCGTGGATCTACCCCTTCTAAAAGTGTCCCAGTCCCATATAGCTCCCAAACCCATTCTACTAATCGTATTTGGTTTTCTTGAGCCTTATATACGATGGGTTTTCTCCCACAAGCTATTTCCAATGCAACAACTCCAAAGCTAAACACATCTGATTCTCTGGTTGCCTTTCCAGTTACTACACATTCAGGAGCCATGTAACCCAAAGTCCCAGCCAACATTGTAGTCTGTGAGCCTTTCTCGTGGTCGACCAATTTAGCTAACCCGAAGTCGCCAAGCTTAGCATTGAAATTTGAGTCCAACATCACATTACTCGATTTTATATCTCTATGCAAAACACATTGCTCCCAATCTTCGTGTAGATATAGCAAAGCAGAGGCCAGACCACAGGCAATCTTGTACCTTGTTCCCCATGCTAACAAGCTGTTTCCATTAAAGAGATGTAAATCTAAGCTTCCATTTTCCATAAACTCATAAGCAAGCAAAAGTTCTCCTTTCTCGTGGCACCAACCAGTCAATTGGACGAGATTTTTGTGCCTCAATCGGCTAATGATCTTTACTTCTGCTGCGTACTCCTTGATCCCTTGTTTGGAATTCTTGGACACCCTTTTCACTGCAACATATATTTTCAAATCATCCAGAAACCCTTTGTAAACCTCTCCAAAACCACCCTCGCCTAGCTTTTCTTTCTCTGAAAAGCCACCAGTTGACCGAGCTAATTCACGGTAAGAGAATCTTCGAGGTCCGATGCCCATTGTGAATTCATTGTTCATCTCCAGACCAGATCCAAATTCGTCAACTTCATCTCCCATGTTTTTCCTCATTTTCCAACAAACAATTGTAACAATAACCAACAAAGCAAGTACAACAGAGACTCCAGCAATCAATTTCACTATATATCCTGTCCTCTTCTTCTCCTTCATTGAATCCGGACTTGTGGATGGTGGTAGCGTGTTGTTCTGATAAATGTTTTGGGGGCTAATGGTTGGTGGTATGTCAATTTTTTCGTCAATGTGTAGAATAGAACTATTAAAAGTCCAAGACCTTACATTGTTTTTCTGGAACGAGGCACCTGTTGCTGCTGAAAACCCAAAAATCACCCATTCTGGCAACACCTCCCTTAGATCAATGGTGTAATAAAGTCCATCTATATCATCTCCGATATTGGTGTAGGAAACACTAAGATTTTTGGAAACAGAATCATAGTTAATCCAAGCTTGACACTCTTTCCCATATTCTATATTGTTCCTCCAATACCCATAGCTAACAGAAGAAAGATTATTGATGTTTATGCCTACATGATCTTGTGGGGTTGGATCCCAACTAGGGTTATAATATGTATCAAACTCTACCGCGACAAACGGAACAGTTCCGAGGTTGGTGGTGACATTGACCGGAAGCCCCATGGCTCCTCCACCATAATAATATCCCAAATCTGATTCAAACATAGATTTATTCTGAGCAAGAAAGAATGTGAGGCCATCACCGTAATTAGTATTATTGTTTGAATCAATAACAAATGAAAAATATGTAGAGAAGCTGGCTAGCTCTGTAGAGTTCTTATCCCACAGATGAAGCGGTGTGATGTATGTTGCCCTGCCTGCTGTCCTGTTCCCTAATTGACGATTGTTTTCAGGGGTCACCTGGATTCCTTGGTCAGAGATATAAGCTCCACCCCCTGATGTTTTTATCTTCTGGTTTTCGTTTGGAGTAATATTTGGGAAATCGAAACTAAGGGAAGCTGCATAAGGGGTTAAGCTGAGAAGGAAAAGGAAGCATGTTAAGATAGACATGCTTCTGGAAACTTGCTACAAAATTTTTATGGTAGGTGGGTGTTCTTCACTACAAGAAGTCAGAAATCCTCCTCAGCTCAACCATCCACCATGTCAATCCTGTCCAAGGTGATGGCTGTTTGTTTGCTGTTTGAAGTAGACTTGTGTCAATCAAGAGTCAAGACTCAAGTCAGTCAACGTGCTTTATGTATGTAGGACATGGGCACATGGGCATGACTACCTTTTTCATCATATCTTCACATTATCAAATGTTTTTTTTTTTAACAAAGTGATTAGGCATTGATTAGCCGAATCATTTGCAAAACAATAAAATGGTGGCGTGTTTTACTCAAAAATATATAGGTTAATTTACGTCTTGGTCTTTTTCAATTCAGTTTTCATATCCAAGAATTACTCTGCTAGATTCTCTGTTTTTTCTATTATTAAATGGTTGTCATCTTTACAAAATTTAATATAACATCTTCGATTTTAAAATTTTGGATGTAAGTATTATTAGATAAAATACTTTCGAAGGTTGGAAAATGATTAAGTTTTTGTGATACAACAAATGTCAAATGCGAACCGAATGGTGTTTGCACTTAATAATGGGTTTTAATTGTTAGAAATGTATTTAAGACCTTTGATAGTTTTGTATAAGGAAAAAAGTTTTAGAAATGAGTAGGAAACATGCTAAATACCTTATAGCAATAAAAATCAGGTTTTAAGACATCATTTATTATTTCTTTATCCTAAAATTAGTTTTTATTTATTTATTTATTTTTTTGAAACGAAAAATCTAATCTACTATTAAAGTAACTCCTAAATCCAAATATATATGACGATACATGAACCCTCAACCTCAAAGAAGGATGAAAACCTGATACCGCTGGATTATAAACCCTATGGGCCTAAAATGTAGCTAATATCATGAAGATAGTATAGTAAAATGAATCACTATGTTGGGTCATAACACTTGGAAAGGTAACAACACTTCAGCCCATTTCTTTACTAAGCCTAATACACCTTTTAAACTAACAAATCAAACCATTTTAAATCCAGGACAATCCACTAGCATACTACTTGACCCGAACCGCCCGCCCTAATCCTAATAACAATCGTTATATTAGAACGAAGCATCTCACAAAGCATGAAGGGGATTTCCTTTATGCCTGGTTCTCAAGCTTTAGAATAGAAAATAACAGAAGGGGAAAGAAAGTAAGGAGAGAAAACAAGAGAAGGGAAAATGCAACATATTAAATTGTATTTTATGCTCCAGATAAGTGAAAGAAAAGTTAAATATATTGTTCTTTTCTCTTAAAATCTGTAACACCCGAAATCTAGAAGGCTAATTAAGGAAAGGTAATTTTCATTTAATAAGTCAACTCGTCGAGTTCAAGGGGGAGAACTCGACGAGTAGGAATATTTTTGCACGAGGGAAATTGAAAACCAACTCGACGAGTTGGGGAGGACCTACTCGACGAGTTGGACAGGGTTTGGGAAACCCTAAATGCGGTATTTACCGCCCTATTTAAAAAACTTAAGTTTAGGGTTTGGCCTCATTTCCAGCCTCCAAGTCCCTAACCCTAAATCCTGAAACCCTAAAGCTAGTTGGAGTGATTGTGAGCCATTTTTGAGTGTTTTGTGGGTGTTGGAAGCTATTGGAAGGAAGGAAAGCTTGAAGGAAGAAGGAAGAGTTGCTAGATCCAGAAATCTCACTCCATCTTAGTCATTTTTTAGTAATCAAGTCTCAAACTTCACTATAGTTGACTAGATCTCCTTCTTAGCACCTTTTGCTTGTTTTTGGTCCAAATGATATGGGTTCTTGAGAGTTGGACGTCCCAAATGGAAAGCATTTCAGATCTAGAGCCTTGAAGGATTTTCATGGCATAAAGGTGCCAACTTTATGGCCATGGAAGTCCCATGCAACATTTAGACCACCATTTTGGCCTTGAGATCTTCCAATGGCCATGCAAGTAGAGAAAGTTGGCAACTTTACGTAGTATCTCAGCCCTAGGGTACCATATCTATAGTTTGGGGGCACTAGACTCACTTGGAAAGTGACAGAATGTGTTAAGACTAGGAGAACTCAACGAGTTGCTTCGCCAACTCGGCGAGTTGGATCGGGGTCCCTCGACCTTCTGGATACTGAGCAAACTCGGCGAGTTGGGTAGGGTTTTCGGGTTATCTAAAGACTGACGAAATCCACGAGTTCATGAAGGAACTCGATGAGTTGATTCGAAGTGTCCCGACTTTGTTGAAATGGAAGAACTCGACGAGTTTGGGAAAAACTCGACGAGTTGATGCGAGATATCGCGACTTTGTGGTTTACGGAAACTAGCCGAGTTGAAGGATAGCTCGACGAGTTGAGTCAACTCAGAACGTTGACTTTGACTTTCACCTTGACTTGAACTTGACCAAGGTTGAATTGAGAGGATTATGAAGTACATAATGGCTACTAAGGGTGGTTCCATGAAGGGTTGGGTCCAATTTGGAAAATTGGGCCATCAATGGGCTTATATGGAGTTTATGGTTATGGGCCTTGGCCTCGATTGTGAGTCTTGATTGGACCAGGGTGATGGGTTTTAAGCACTATAACATACCTATGGTGCACATACAACCCTAATGCTTTGGATCTAAGTTTTCTCCAATAATACATGCAATATTCTTTTTCAAAGCATGAAGCTTAACTAGCATACAAATTGGATATTTGAATCATAAAAACAAGTTAAATGATTATCTCTTGTTGTAGCTTGTAGAAGTTGGCCTTTCAAGAGCTTAGCACCTCAAGTGTGATGCCTCAAATGTTTCACAAAACACCAAGAACAAATGGAGGACAATGTGAGAGAGATTAGGAGGCACCAAAATCGGCTAGCTTCTTCTTGGAATGCACAAGTGCCAATTTTAGGGTTTAGGGGTTACATTTATAGTGTAGAATTCCAAGAGTCACTTGTAAACCCTAATTCTTACACTTAGGCTTATGATCCAACAATTGATTTGGACTAACACTTCATGGACTATCTCATAAGCTTAGTCCATCACAAATCAATCATGGATCATTAGCCCAAACCATATGTATCACTGATTTACATAATCAGTCCACGTTAATTTAGTCAGTCTCTTTTGATCACTAAATTAATTCCAAATTAATTCTTGATCAATACTAATTAAATAATATAATTTCTCAATTAATATATTATACTTATAATATATTAATATATCACAAATAACCTCTTCTCAAATATCCATCCTATCAAATTGTTCTGGTGAATGCAACCCAAAATGGACCATGCTACTATCGGGTCAAGTACATACCAATTATAGTTATGAGCTTAGACACCTAATCCAACAGTCTCCCACTTGGATAAGTCTAATAACTATTATTTCAAGTACGACTTCAGAATCTGATTAGTAATCGTAGCTCTCAAAAGCCACTGTTGAACTCTGATCAATAACGCGTCCTTTAGATAAGGGATCACATATTCCTCCATTTTACAAGATATCGTATGGACTGAGACATGGATTATAATCATTCTCTCTGTCCATGTGTTGTTTACCGACTCCCGATTTATGAAGACTGACAACAGACTACATTGAACACATCAACTTAGTCCAGGCTTGGTCAAGCGCTTAGGGTGTCATCAATAAATCATCGACGGGCCCATTGATATCACTTTTATCCCTCTTAAGGTAAATGGAATGAATAAACTTCGACTCATATTCTTGCTCAATTTACTCATCAAATCACACACAACAATACGTTTTATAACACCAAGTTACTGGTGCTTTTATGTATCATCTGTCATACCCCCAAACCAGACGGCGGAAACGTCTGGGGGTGGAGGACTTCATTTGTAGTATCACAACACATGTATCATAGCAATCAAAGTACAAACAACCATTGTATTTAAAAAGTATAAGTATTTACATATGTTCAATCATTGTATATTGAAACCAAAATAGTTATACAAAAGAAGAAGATATGACTCAAATTAGCTCCATCTTCTCAAAAAGCTCGGGGAGTACCTGTTTATTGTTTCCCTGAGAATACAAGTAATTTGAAAAGAGAGTATCAACATAAAGTTGAGTGAGTGCATATGTATTTATGCTTAAAAGGATGTTTCGGTATCTCGAATATGTAAACTGTTCCAGAAAATCCTATATTTTCTGGTGTATATGAAAAGTAGTTTTATTCCCAAAAAACCGTTCCATTTGTAAACCAATGTTCTGCATTTGTAAAACTTGTAACTGAGAGTGTGCCTGGTTCCACCAGCTGTTATTGAAAACTGTAATATACTACTGTAGCTTGTATTTTGTAAACTGGTACTTTGAAGATGTACTTACGTTTAGTTGATTATACACTAACGTATTGTTAATATCTTTTTAATGAGTTCTTATAACCATACTGAGACTGGATGGCCTGAAACAAACGCTTGTAGGCATTTAAACTGTTGATAACAATTGTCACTCATTGGCGTGTATGCCTGACTGTAGCTAGCAGTCTGAGTGTGGGGTTGTCAATCCCAACATAGATGTACATACAACTTGTTTCGATCCCCTGGCTGGAGATTTTGGTTATAATGTCAGGACTTTAACCGTGTCTCATAAAAAACATATAAACGTTACATGTATAATAGTTATGAAAACCCAATCATCATGAAATAATGATTGATTGTATGTTCATGAATTAGTATTCCGAACATGTATTTGACAATTGTAAATCCTTGATTTGTTTTGAATCAAAACCCTTGTTTCTTGTAAAACAGTGTATTCTAGTATACTTGAATCATGAATTATTGTTCTATGTATCATAAAATATACCTATTATAATTTATATGTACTTTCTGAATCGGTATTTAACTATTTTTGCATGTAACCCTTGCTCAACATGTTACAAAGGGTATTTAAACTGATGAAATAACTTTTATATTCATATACATATACAATTATATATAAGCAAAATTTAAACGACATTCGGACAAATAACCGGTACTATAAGCCCACATCCAAACAAGGAAAAGGAC